GGTCACCAGTCTATCACAGGGCTACACTTAGAGACAGACAACCAAGCACACTCACATTCACACCTACGGACAATTTAGAATCACCAATTAACCTCTGGCCTTTCTTCACCAACAAAATGTCAGAAGGTTGAATTCACAGTATGTTGATGCAGAAAATGGATCCTCAGTCAGTCGAAGTAAACTTCAAATGTCCTCACAGAAAGTTATGAACACAGTCAAGCAGCTGCCTCTCTTCTCCTCTCAGCACCTGGAGCGCCAGCGCCCCCTGCTGGAGGAGAAGGCCAACCCTCACGGCATCGAGTGGCTGTGGAGCCCCATCACCATCCGCATGTATCTGTCACTGGTGGCCTGCAGCATGCGTCACTTCACCCAGGAGGCCGCCATCGGGGCGCTGCAGAACATCACGGCCGGGAACCAAGAGGTAAGAAGCTCTGTTTGACACTTTCATAGGTTCACTGTGGAAGAAGAAAAGAAGCAGCTCAGCACAAAGGTGTTATAGATGCGTATACTGACTGTTTATTTACACCTTAATAGATACGTATTTAGTCGTGGGACAGACGAGTTTTATAACTTAGATCATGTTAGTGTCGATTTCTGGCTGATGCTGTAATTATCACATTAAAACCAAGTTAATCCATCCGGTTCATTAGTCATCATGACAAGTAGTAAATAGAAGCACAACAACAAGATGGTGTAATGAGACTGTTTCCTCACAGCTGCTGTAGATATTTTACTGCTTACATTTCTAATCTCTTTCCACTCTTGCCTCCTATCTGCTCTGTGTAAACACAAAACAATTCAGCCAAAAAAAAAACTGTACAATTCTTGTCATGTGACTGTTGGTTGCAGCTGAGTCACTAATGGCTTCACAGTTGCACAGGGGAACGCAGAATCATGTGTTTTTTGCAGAATCTGATGAGAGCAAATGTTTCATTTTTCTCATATTTTTAAAAAAAAATCAGACATGACGAATAAATATCATGATTTTAAGTTTTAAATTGATTAAGTTTTTCCATGGAAACAGATGATTAGTTTAGGGAAAACTGAACATCTGATGATAAAGATATCTTGCCTTTCAAATCTGCAGGTTTTGTGGTTCAGAGGGTTGAACAACTGAAATTGTCATCTCTGAATTTTTGTCTTTTTCTCTGTTTTCATATTTATTTCAAAGACCAGAGTTAGTATTTCTTTGACACTATGTACCGGTATTCACCAGAGAAACTGATTTCAAGATTAGAAACAAGCACGTTTGTTCTGCTGATCCTTATCCTTTCAGTCCTGGTTAGCATCAGAAAGCATAGCTGTCACCATGCACACATATTTAATAGATTTTCTGTTTCCTGTTAGATGACCGAAGCCATCGCCTTCACCATTGTTCAGCGGGAAAATGGTCTTCAGCATATTAAGAAGATTTTAGAGGAGGGAGAGAGTGATGTGAAGAGAACAGCCATATCTCTAATAAGAAACCTCTCTCGCTACCAGGAGCTGCACCCTGCTATTGGTAATTTCACATTTAGAGTTGACATCCTTTGACATTTTGAATAATAGCCTATTATGTTATCCTCCACCAAGCATTTGCACATTTTGGCCACAAGCTGTACTTCCAGTTTGACAAGCTTAAAACTCCATGCATTGAATCGAGCATTCTTCCTCCTGAAGTGAACCAGGTGCTGCCGGAGGTGGTGGGGATGCTGCCCAAAGACGACAAAAAGCTGCCCGGCGAGGTGACGACTTCTCTGTGTCAGATCCTCATCAACCTGAGTCAGAGCGACATGAAGAACGTCAGGGCCATCGTCAACCACGGGGGCCTCCCGAGGATCATCGGCATCAGCAACTCGGACAACGGGTCGGTCTGCGCTCACGTTATCGCTGCTCAGGAAATGTTCACATATACGCATTATTAATTTCATGTTTGATGATGAGCAGTTGTCTAATAATGTAACCGCTAATGAATATGCTCAAAACAGAGCATCTGTACTCTGTGAAATATCTAACGTCCCTAAATATGTTGCTAGCTACCTTTGAAGCAACTTTGTATTTATCATTATATATATTTACTGAACTATATTTAGGCACTATAGTTATATAAAAGTGACAACATAATATATAAGACAAGATAAAATATAAGAAGAGAAAAAAAATAGACAAGATAGGATATTATGAGATAAAATAAGATCAGATGAGATAAGATAAGATAGGATAAGGTAAGATAAAATAAGATAAAATGAAATGAGATAAAATAGGATAAGTTAAGACAAGATAAGATAGGATAAGTTAGGGCAATTTAGGATAAGAACATTTAGGATAAGTTAGAATAAGATAAGTTAGGAGAAGTGAGGATAAGTTAGGATAAGATAGGATTAGATAAGTTAGAATATGTTAGGATAGGATAAGATAGAATAAGATAAGTTTGGACAAGTTAGGATAAGACAAATTAGGATATGTTAGGATAGGATTAGATAAGTTCGGATAAGATAAGTTAGGATATGTTAGGATAGGATAAGTTAGGATAAGATGAGATAGCATAAGATAGGATCAGATGAGATGAGATGAGATGAGACAAGATAAGATACAGGTAGGTATACAGTGTAATCCCATACAATATAACAATAGGATTAAGTAAAAAAGGAAGTGGTTGAACATATTGCACAGGGAAATATTAATATTGAGCAGGGAATAATTAATGTTGCACAGAATTATTCTATATTTATAAAGAAATTTAGATAGTTCAGATATTTTTATGTGTGGAAAACACTGATGTCACTCAAATAATCATATATAAATACTGCATGGACTTTTCTAAATTGAGAAAATAACGATATTGCACAGATTCTTCTACAAACTAGTGAAGTAAAAGTGCTTCCTCTGACTTTAGCAAAACCTAAATTATTACAAGCAAGTTTTACTTCATGTATCAAGAACAGAAGAGCTGAGATGCTGTAAAACCGTGACCTTAACTCGACCTTTGTGTCTCCTAGTTGCGGGCCGAGCCGAGCGGGTCAGGCAGCATGCATCCTGCTGCAGGCGATGTGGAAACACACTGATCTCCACGGAGCCCTGAAGAAGGTGAGCTCCTGAACACATCCCATTACATCATATCACCAGGTTCTTTAAGGATACTGACGCTGTATTTGTCAGTCATCTGTGTATCGGCTGTCAACAAATGCGTGCTCGTGTTTCGCTTTCAGACACTGCAGGGAAAACTGTCTGCACTGGTCCTGGCAGCTCAGTTGAATTGAATTATTTGAGAGACAATGTACATAAACCCTCTGACCTGCTGTCACATTTTTACCCACCGTGGGCTCATTTTTCACAGCAATATAAAATCCTGCACCTCTGTGGAATGAGCACAACCATGACTGGGAGTAGAGAGAAGTCAGAAAAAGTTATCTTGCCATAAACCATTAAAAAAGGGGAAAGAATTGTTTGATTAATTGTTTTAGAAAAATGGAAAAAACTTGCAACCAACATGTTTAACTTTTTTAAGTGTCCACTTTTCCAATACTGGAAAAAAAAAGTGATCTCTCTGTACTAAATATTTGTCTCCACTCTGCTCTGTTTAAACACAGACTGCAAATTGCATCATGTTTCATGAAATGTCATCATGATTTTTCACAGAATTCAGATTGCACAAACTGTTTTTAGTGACTCTTTTAATAAGACGTGACTTTAATAAAGTACGACCCTTTTGAGGCACGATTTGGTAAATTTCTTTTTACCAACTTCACATACGATTGCTTCAAAGACTGAAAGAAAGTTTAAAATTCGACAATTTTTCCTGTTTTTACAGTTTCTGTCTTTGATAAATGGTGTAGTTTTGGCGATTTTTGTCAGACAACATGCTGTTCATGCCAGGGGGGTTTCAGTTTTAGAGGGTTAACCAACATTCATCCATCCATTATCTGTACACCGCTTAATCCTCACTAGGGTCATGGGGGGGCTGGAGTCTATCCCAACTGACTTATGGCGAAGGGGGACACCCTGGACAGGTCTAACTAACATTCAGATGAATGTAAATGTACCCGTGTTAGTCAAAGGCTGATTTTTATCTGCACTTACTTCGGCGGTTATTGTTAGGCATCCAAAAACAATCAAAAAAGAAATAAAATACGATATGTACAACAACCTACATGGTCATAAAACACAGGACGTGTAGAAAGTGGAGACAGTTTAGTTCAATATAGTTAAAAAAAAACATATACAGAATAATAAAGATACATATTGTTTTAATCTATATTAATGAGTATAATCTTGTTAATGTTGAAGAGGACAATGTCAGCGCTGTTTGTTCGTAAGAAGTCTTAAAATTATACTAAAGTGAATAATAAGACGGGGACACTGACTGATTGTGTAACAAAGTCCATTGATGTGCTGAAAGAAAGACAATCTGACTAAATGTAGTTTTCATGTGAAGCTTTGTTCAGGTGGAAATGTCTGTTTGCATCAACGTGACAATAACAACAGCAGTAGAAAGTGTGTGAGGCAGAAAATGAACCACAATGTGTTTCTGTGATTTATACGCTGATAGTAAACTCTCTGGTGTCACATTAATGATGAACTCAGCAGCAAGAAGACAACAATCTCTCATGAAGTCGCCATAAAAACGATGTCACCTATAAGGGAATAAGGTTAAAACGAGGGGGAAAGGATCACTGTAAATAATCTCCAGCTTTACTGTTTAATCAGCATCACAAATAACTAGCTGCTGAGCAAAGTCATGGACATTCCTATAAATGAGATAATAATAATAATAATAATACTTTATTGTTCCCTTACAGAGAAATTCCATAAAGATAAAAAGAGATAAATGTTTATTTACCTGATGAGGCTTTTCCACATACACAGATTACATCATTTTAACACATGACAATGGTGTCTAAAGTCTGATTGTTTGTGAGATGGTTCCAGTGGTTTCAGCACACGTCAGACCAGTTCATGAGCCAGTAGTCGTGTGCTTGTCTGAGTGGAAACACATGCTTGATGGGAAGTTTCTTGTTCACCTGAAGTTCACCCAAACTGGATGTTACCTATTTACGGTCCCTTTTTATGTTGGTTTTTGAAGCCGGATCGCTTTGATGTTTTAGGTCTGAATTATTTATGAGACCTGCATTTCAAGCTTTAATAAACATTTTTAGCTTTTGCGTCACGGCGCAGATAGTTCTGGTCAGAGGATTTAGTTCAGGTACAGAATCAGCTTCTTCTTATTCGTCGGTTCCTTCATTTAGATGAAGCTCATTTCTGTATAACGGACATCGATACACTGGTGCAGAGTGCATCTTATGTTTAGTTTGGACAATTAGTATCCTAAAGAATTCCATTCATGAAGAAAGCTAATCAGTCTTCTGTTATTTAGGTGGATGTTTGATGTGGTGATATGAAGCACATGTGGCTGGACTCCTTCTACATTAACACATTCACAAGCTGGACTTTTCCAGTTAATCCACTTGTAGCTGCTGATATCTGACGTCTGCCTCTGTGTGTTTTCAGACCTTCCTACTAGGGGGCACCAAAGCTTCAAATGTGTTCTTCTGCAACACAAAAGCCCAGTCTGTAACGAACACTTGCTTCTCTTTTCAGGGCGGATACAAGAAATCTGATTTCATCAACGCAAGAACGACGAAGATCGTGAGCTCCAGATGAGATCCACAGACACCAAACCTAAGCTGCACTTTTTCACAGTATCGGCACAAAATCAATCAAAGCACTGTTTCCTGACATAGATTAATTGTATTTTTTCATGCTACAGACAAAAATGAACTCCACCTACATTTCCCATAAAGATCCCCTTTAAAATGTAACTTTAGCTGCAGGACCAACGCGTCCTTGTGGGTGGGAGGTTTCATTAAAACAGGTAATTAATGTTGGAGGAGGAAAGCGACTGATGCAAGAAGTACATTAATGAAGAGCTGTTTCTCATTTCATGGGACCTTTAAAGCACCTTTTTGTAGTTTTTACTTCCTCTTCTGGCTGCTGCCGTTGGGCCTCGTGGTCAGAATGTAGATATTTTTGATGTATCTCTTCAAATTTAAAATATTTCTTTATGTTTGTGTATTTTTTTCTACAGCGGCAGTTTGTCAGTGGATGATATTGCGTTTTGTTTTTAAGCATTTCTGGTGATGCTATGCGTAGCTACATGCCGAGAACCACAGAGAAAATGTTTGAGCGTACATGAAAGCTGCATTGATTTCTTTGACAAACTACATGAACTGGATGTATGTAAAGCGTATTTTAAAGTGTAACACAAAAACAAGCTGATCTCTGGGCTTCTAACTCGAGTTGTTTCCAGAAATAAATACTGTTTTGAGTTATTTTTTATGAGAAAATGTGCTAATTATTTAAGGAAGTGCCCAATAGCTAGATAAAATAAATTATGTGCAGTCAAGTGTTTTCCTTGAACCACTTCAATCAGTTGAAAAAGGTCGATCACTGCTCGGCATTACAGATTGACCACAAAGTCTCATATGTATATCCCATTTCTGTAAATTAATCCAAGAAAGGATTGACTCATTTATCAAAATAAAAGCTCCAACCTGCCGAAGATCAATGTACAGTCGTCCTCAAATGTATTCATAGCCTCCCATTGAAGAAGGAAAAAAACACTGAAATACGTTGAAATTGACAAAAGTAATAATAAATAAAAATGTAATGAACATCATGATGTTGCTTTTGAATTGTGGTTCAACAGAAATATAAAAAATAACATGCAAACAAGCATGATGGGACCCGTAAACTAACATTTTGTTGAACAACCCTTTGAGCCAATCACTGCTATCAGGTGTTATCTGTAACTCTCAGTCAGACTTCTGCACCTGTTGACAGGTGTTCTGATTTCACTGCTCATCAGCAAAGTGCTCTAATTTGTCTGGGACAGTTTAGTTTTTTTAAATTATTCTTTTCAACCACAATTCCAAAGCAATGTCTTATTTCACTAAATTATAATTTAGCAAATTTTTATTTATTATTACTTTTTTCAGTTTCTAGTTATTTGAGTGACGATTGTGAATTTTTCTTTAATGGAAGGATATGAACACACTTGAGGACGACTGTACATGATATAATTCTTGGAATTTTTACCCTAAAACCCTGACAGACTGCACGAGCCAGGATTAAAACCACAGTCAACAACGCTCTCTCTATTATTCGCGAATTAACTGTGGAAGATGAGGTCTGTGCTGGTGGGAGAGGGAAAAAAAAAAAAGATGTTTGGCTTCTGTGTTGGTTTGTCAGAGCGCCCGGTGACTTTGAGGCCCTGGAGCGGCGTTAACCTTGCGGGGGCCTGGCAGGTCGAGCTGCACTGCGGTACAGCTGGAGGGGGGGAGGAGTCGGGAGGCCGGGTGCCAATCAGCATCAACCCTCCCGGACACGGCAGCTAAGGTCAGGACAAGAGGGAGGCAGGTGCTCAAATAAAGAGTGATAATACTGAAAGAGGCTGGAAATAAGGGAGGGGGGGGATTTAACACGAAATACAGGTGACGAAGAAACCGAACCTCAACCTTGGAGCTCCTTCTTTATTTAAACAGCTCAAACTCCCTCCAGAGAGCCGCTCGGTCTAATTAAGCCCATCACAACTGGGAAATCTGTACACTTGATTTCAGTCAGTGGTTAAATTTTCAGATGAACAGCATCCCACAAAGCAATTAGAGCTGATGTCTGTGATTTACTTGCAGTTTTAGGTATCTAACGGCAAAGAAAACCAGATTTAAAGTGCATTTCATACGATCTAAACTCATGTTTACAAGACAGAAGATGAAGGGACATTTAATAATTTAATGAATCCACTTCTCAGATGTGCATATGCTTCCTTTAAAATGCTTTTTTTGGTCACTAAAATCAGGAAAATCACACACTTGCTGTTGTTCCACCCAGCAGAGGGCAGTGGTGTAGCGTTAACTCCCCATCAGTCACCTCAACCAAGTGACAAGATTCAGTTTTGAAACCTAAAAACTGCCCCCAAGTACGCTTTGTCCTCTAATAACGTTTTTTCATATTCATAAAATCTTTATCCTACATGTTTTAAAGTGGTTTAGCTCTCAGATTAAACCCTAAGCCTTTCTATTTGAGGAACTAAACTCTGCACTTTCCTCCATTTTCTCCCCCCCCTCCCCACTAATAATCTCTAATTCATCCACTTTGAGAACTATTTTGGTGACAAAAGGCCGTGATTTCCGAACGGCGGTCTTGGCGGAGGGAGAGAACAGCCTCAGAAGGAGCCAAATCCTTTTAACAATAGCTTACTTGTCTCCGGGCGGCTTACGCTGCTCTGAGAATTGGTCCGATTTCTTATTTCACAAGAAGAGCTTCAAGCTGTCGCAACAAATAAGGTGGACAGACTGGAGGAGAAGCATTGTGGGGTTAGTGGGAAAAAAAATAATCACACTTTCCTGCAAGATAAGTTCCCTGTCAGCGTGAGAGTAAGACACCCCGAGAATATTTATAGAGCAACACAGATATGTCCAAAACACCAAAATAGCCGATGGTAACAGGTGTGGAGAAACACGAGGTTTGTTTGCGACCGGAGCAGGGCGGTGAAATGCTGCCACATATCCACTGAACATGTTTAACCCACAGAGAGACAGAAAGAAAGAAAGGATTCAGTGATCAGTGGAAAACAGGCAAAAAGGAAGCCAGTTTTTAGGACACACTGAGGCCTTTGTCAGGGGCGTCGACACTCAGAGCAAATCACCATCTACTGACATGATCGCTCAAGAACGTGTGCAATCACAAGTGAAAGGATGAGAAGGAAAACAGAGTTTCCTTGGATACCAGTGTTTTTGCTGCTCAGATCTTTAAAGAATGTGTGGAGCGGAGAACCGCCCTTTAATGTCACCAACGGGGACAGACAGTGATACTGCCAATGCTCAGAGTGTTTTAACTTTGTAGAATCGTGACACGTTAAAGGAAGCCTGGGCTACAACTCAGAGACGCAGCTTTCCCATAAATACTAGAAAACTGAATATACACAGAACTGAAATGAAATCTCACGAGTTTCACATGTGAACTTACATGAGCTTCATACATACATATAAAAACAAATCTGCAGTTTTACTGAATTTGTCCTTTGAATTTTACATTTTTTTCAGTATTTTTTTTAAGTTTAAATTAAGTTACAAAACAAATAAAACGACCACAAACAACTACTTCCATTTTTTAAACATAAAAGGCTGTTAAAATACGTGTGTATACAGAAAATGTCCTTTTTTATTTCATAGATGCAACCGTAATTTCCAGTTAAATACATAAAAAACCATCAACACCATTAAAAAAACAACAACTTTGAATTTACACATATAAAGTTAAATAACATTAAAAATCTGGAAATGTCAATAAGCATGAAATGTTTTTTTAAAAATAATTTTTCTACATAAAAAAAATGTTGGAATGCACTTTTAAATTTAAATAATCTGACACTTTTCTTTGACAAACAGGAAAACAGATGATAAGAAGTATTGGTTCTGTAATTTTGCATTAATTTATTTGTCAAATGAGAGATAACTTGTATTTTAAAGAAGTGTTCAAAACAAAAAGATTAAATGAATGTGTTTTCATTAGTGTGCATCTCAATATATATAAGCATTGGTAATCTATCTATCTATCCATCCATCTATCTATCTATCTATCTATCTATCTATCTATCTATCTATCTATCTATCTATCTATCTTTATAGATGTTAATTTCCTTTATTAAACATTAAAAAGCCCCAAAAATACACAATAATCTCATCTATGGAAAATGACTGTATTTTTATGAGATGAATATTTTCCATTATTTCATTTCTCAACAACTTGTGCACTAAGCGTACACTACAAATGTTCCCAAACCACATTTCTCACACACAAAGTGCGTGTTGATGATGTGATTTTAACATATCATCACACATTACATTTCTCACAAATGTGCCAAATCCTGTGTCCATGTGGTCATGTGTGTTGTTGTTTATGTGTGATCCATGTGTGTTTTCTGTGTTTACAGCCACACTAGCTGCCCGGTGACACTTCAGCAGTAAAGTGGTGCTTTGAGCTGAATAGTAAAGTCTCTGTAGCACACTGCCGGTAACGTGCTGATGTTCAGCAGCTATAATGCTCGCTGTGTTATTTTAAGACGTTAGCATGCTGCCGTTTGCTAATTAGTGCAAAACACCGAGTGCAGCTGAAGCTTGCAGGCATTAGCTATTATTAGCGCAATACTTGGCTCATAAAGCCAATATTGGACTAATTGAAATTTTACCCTTTAAGCTGGAGGGCATCATGAGAGATATTACACTCCAGCTTAAGTGGAGTGTTGCAGTAAAACGTGATGTAAAGAGAGTGTTTGGGCTGCAGTTGAAGTTAAATACAGTTTCAAATTAATCTCATTTATCTTTCTGCTTTGTTGATGGCAGTTTATAGCTTGAAATTACATTCTGTCCCTTTCACCTGGTCTTCTAATTTGGGCAAAAGTGCAAAAAAATAGCCATTAGCACTATGCATCTGTCATCCACGCTTCTTTAGTTATTTTTCTGTTGCAGACGCAGGAACCAGAAATCCAATGACCATTTTTGGGGAGCAAAACAAACACCTGAATTGAAAAAATGAGAAAGCGGATTTTGCTGCTTATTTGAGAGAAATCTCACATTTGATTTGAACGAACTTAATTAAATTGTGTGTTACCAATTAAAGCAATTCATTTAAGGTAGTCCAACAGTTCTCCTTTTTCAGTGTGATTTAGGTCCTCGTCGCTCTGGACCACCTGTGAGAGAGTGATATGAATAAGCAACAGTTTTTAAAGTAACTCCTGCCCACTGAGTGACATATTCTTCAGTTTAAGCTAACACACTAGTTTAAAAAGAAGCTTTGTGAATGATTAAAAACGTGATTGTTGCTTATTAGGAGGAATCACCTGCAGCTGCTGCAGCACTCGGCCACTTGTTCTGAGGCCGAGCTGTGCAGACTCTGCTTGAGAGAGGAGGAAGAACAGAGCAGAGATCTTGTTAAAGTGGGACAAAGGTTTAACCAGCTGGAGGGAGACCGTCCTCAGACAGAACAGACTGTCTCAAGACAGTGCAGTTACAAGTGCCTGAGCTGAAGTTAGAACTGAAAAGATGTAAAAAGAGAAAACCTGAACCCCAAATAAAATAGAGGAAAGCAGAAAAACTCTAAAGCAGCACAAAGTTTGGCTAAAAAGCTTCAGATTTTCCTCACAAAAATGGACAAATGTATGTAGTAACAAGAGAAAAAACAAATGAAGAGGTCACAACTAATAGACACACATATGCAAAAAAGTAGGCGTTTGTTTAATTCTAAATGTTCACAAGCTGCAAGCATGATGTTCT